TTAGAAGGACTTTGACTACTGATCGGCTCTTTGTCAAGATATGTAGATCCAGAGCTGATAAAACTTCCGGGTTCAATCAAACAACTCACTAAATGCTACAATCAGCATATCTTTTAGTGTGTTTAAAATGATTGTTTATGTTTTATGGGTCGGACTCTGTATTATCAATATTCATAGAGTGCCTTCATTTTAAAGCTGTTTGGGCTTTTCTTCGGGCAGCATTCCCAATCTCAGTTAATTAATTGCATGGGCAATGCAGCCAGCTTGGAGCAGGGGTGCCACTGTCTCTGGATATATGAATATACTGTATGAAGGGGTCTGGCTTTTCAGTGACAGGCTCTTGGATAACAATTTGTGGATCTTTCACTTATATAACATTTGGACTGAAAAACAGTGAGATCATTAATACAAGTGCAGTTTCTTTTTCTTCATGTCTTACATGATGAAAGAAGCAGATAGCTGTCTTTAAAAGCTCTTTAAATACAAAGTCCATATCTATAATAACAGGATCAAAGTGGACTTTTTTATTATTCTGCATTTTAAAATGATATCCATTCTAGTCACTGTGATCTTGTACGGGAATGGTGGTGTGGAAGATGGATTGATGGATGGCTTTATATCTAGGCTAGTGAAAATCTTTGATTTCTGTTTTATTATTGGTTTTAAGTGTGCTCCTCTTTTAAAATAATTCTGTCTATCAGGCAGAGATTCATGGATTTTTCATGTCCAGAAAAGCGACAGATGGGTTACAATTGGAAGCCAATCAAGATCGAAATATTAGGAATGAGGAAATCCCTTTGTTTTCTAAACAATGTAACTGGGGCATCAGTTGCAAAAAGTACAAAATCAAGGGGAAGCTTGATTCGGGAAAGAGGAGCAGCAGACACAAGCTGAAGCCCAGCAAAGCTCGGCCTGGAAAATGAGCATAGCTTTGAAGCGGCACCTCAGAAAAAGGCAGAGCTTCAGCATCCTCAGAAAATCCTGCACATTGTGAGCTTCGCAGAGCGGCTGTTCAGGAAGGTTCTACCACAGAGAAGCTGCCTTTTGAGCTAATGCACAAAGGTGCCGGACCTGCTGTATGGTGTACAAACCTGGACCCCTGTGCAAAGGAGACGGTGATGCGTGATTCCGAAAGGTTTAAATTTAGATGAAGCCACAGGATGCTTTCAGCCCACGACTGTCTGTTGGTATGGATAGCTGTCTCCTGGGATTCATTAGGTCAGATGACCACTCTAACACTCAAGAAATATAAGGTCATTTTAGAGGATCAGTTGCACCCTGTGTGTAAACACTGTTCCCTATTGATGTTCCCATATTCTAGGATGTAAATGTCCCCACATGTCCCGATAAACAAATTCAAGAATGCTTTCATGAACACCAAGATCAAGTTAAATACCTTCCCAGTCACTAGCTTGAAGCATCATTGAAGCTTGATGGAAATACAACATGCAAAACAGATTTCCTACTTGATCCCTCACAGTATTAGAGAGATTTTTGGTTGAAGAACTGTCCAGTATCCCACTACACGTACATCAGAACCTAATTACTGTGATTTAGTAACAGTCTGTTCAGCCACATCTTGAAAGTTCTTCAGCACCTGCAGAAAATGGCTTAGAGGTTAGTGGAGTCTCATAATGTTAATACACAGCAGAAGCCTGTTTTATCTGACATTTGAAGAGCGCCTGGCTAATGGTTTTCACACCTAAAATGAGGTTGACTACAATCAAAGATAAATATATTACTGTAGTCCAACTTATTTTTCTATTTAGCTTTTTTCCCTATTTACACTCCTAATGAGTTACATTGAATCTGTAAGAATCAATGAGGTCTTTGCCATAAAGCAAAGATCCCTTGTACCTTCTAAAGTCATGGGCAGTTTAGCCATAGTCGACTTTAAATGTAGCTTTATAACATAATAAGCAAAATAAGATCTTGTGATTTAGTTTTTCATGATGGCTTGTGATTGAATTTTATTCATGACGTTAAAACAGCTCAGTTCTGGGGCAATTTAAACAACTGATCAATTAAGATTATTTCAGCAGTCGTTTGACCCATAATGTACAGGCAGTGAATGGCATTCTGGCACAGAAGATACATAGGAATGAAGGTTTCCCTTCAGATTTTAGGGGATCAAGAAGATGTAGCTCAACGGGGCATCCCCCTTCACGTCAAGCTTGGTGACACATCTGATTCTAGGCCAAAAAGAAATTTCTCTGATTATGGAAAATAAAAACAAGGTTTCACAGATAAAAATAAACTCACTGTGGTCAGCCAGAGGCAGTGAATGGCTCAGTCAGCTAAGCCTCTGTGCCGGTGAACAGAAGGTGACTGATTCAAACCCCAGCCTTGGCAGAACAGCACAAAGCCCTTAACCCTCAGCTCCAGGGACACCGGCCATTGGCTGACCCTGTGCTGCGACCGCCATGCTACGGAGAGCAAGATGGGGGGGGGGAGGCAAAGAGAAGAATTCCAGTATACCTGTAGAGGGTCTGGAGTCTATCCCTAGAAGAACAGCACAGAAACCAGGGAACACACACTGTTTCCAGATAGAGGAGAAGATGCAGAATCAGAAGTGAGCACAGCGGAACATGCAATGTCTGCACATGCAGCAGTCAGGCTAGGAACTGAGGAATCCAGCCAAAAGGCATGAAGCCAACAAGCAAAAAGTAATACAATAAACAAATAATGAAAAATCTATATAATATAAGCCATGGATTAGAAAGATAAAATGTGTATTTAATTTAAAGCCCTTCTAAACCTGTAGTGTCACATGGATTTATTTCTGCGCCCACATTGAATTACTCAGTGACTCCATCTATATTGTATAATTCTATACTACAGTGGAGACATTTTAGAGTTTATGAATAGCCCCGAAATACCTGTTATGTATGCAGTAGCAAGGTGATTTATTGTGAACCAGTCTGTGCTTGGTGTGACTTGCTATTCTTCACGTATAACAGAATATTATGTCACAAACTGCCTTTGAACGTCTCGCTCCTAAAGACCTTGAAGGTATAACAACAATTTGAATCATTTAATCTGAGTGATAAATGCAGATTAAAGGCACTTTAATTGTCTGTGTCAATCGATCTATGAGGGGGCTTCAAAAAAGCTCATGGAAAAAATGGCATTTAAAAAGAACACTGAAAGATATATACTTAATTTTTCAACATACGCTCCATCAAGGCCGAGACACATTTGTAAGCGATGATACCAGCCATTAAGTCCATCCCTAAAGAATTGAGAGTGTGGGGACTTTATCCATGCCAGTGTAGGCTATTTTTTATTATCAACTGAAGAGAACTGAGTGCCCTTTAAATTTTTTTAAGATTAGGAAACAAAAAGAAGTCAGCAGGAGTCAGGGCTGTATGGTGGATGCCTGATGATTTCCCATGGAAACTCTCGCAAATCTGCCCTTGCATTGTCATGGTGGAGAAGGACTCTCTGGTGAAGCTTCCCTGGGCGTCTTCCTGCTAAAGCTTTGGCTAACTTTCTCAAAATGTCTTATAATAAGCAGATGTTTTAGCTCTTTGGTCCTCCCGAAATTCAACAAGCAAAATGTCTTGAGCGTCTTGAAAAACTGTAACTAAGACCTTGTACCTGACTGGTCTTTTGCTTTGACTGAACCACTTCCAGCACTTGTAGCCATTGTTCTGATTGTGCTTTGTCCTCAGGGTCATGCTGGTAAAGCCACGTTTCATCCCCTGTGACCCGGAGTCTTTGGGGTCTTGATCCCGCTTGTTTAAAATTTCCATTGAAAGATCTGCAGCTGAACTGGGAACAACGATTTTGGGCCCCATTGAGTGGAAAGTTTGCTCAACTGCAGCTTTTCAGTCAGAACTGTAAGATGAACCAACTGAGATGTCTTGGGTGTTGGCTGTTTCTGCTGTTAATTGTCAGTCCTTACCAATTAGGGCACAAACACCATAAATTATTTCCTGACAAACTGAGGTGGATGGTCCTTCATTGTAGGCGTCACCTTCAGCATCATCGTGTCCATTGTTAAAATGAGTTATCAATTTGTAAACTGCTGAATCTCACACACACACGTATCCATATATATATATATATATATATATAATTTTTTAGCAGCTTATAGGACCTGTGTGCTGTGTGGTCAGTTTAATGAAGGAAAAATAATTAAGCAAATAAGAGCAATCTTTGCAGACAGCAGCAATTCATCATTGCATTGTTCATTGATTTTTTTTCTCCTGGAATAATTGAGAAGCAAGGGATATAGCTTATTACTCAACATCAATTCCATGTTTGAAACAGAAACAAAAATAGAAATAACATCAATATCAGCTGCAATCTGTACTGCCAAAACAATTAATACCACCCAAACCCAGCAGCTCAGAGTAATAGCTTTTATTTGGTAATATATTTGACAGAAAATGAGGGGAGGTTGGTTTCGCTTCACACAGATATGTGTAATACACTGTCACTGGTTTGCTTCAAAGATGACAACAGTCAGTTTGATGGTCAAAGTAATTATTTCTTGTTGCCAACGCAGATAATTTGTGAGGGTCAGAATAGTTTCTTCAAGTGCACATGGTCAGAGGATATCTTACAATGAAATGCTTCATGCCGTTTGATAGCTGCCCCATTCAGCAAAGGAGGGAAAAGGGAGAGTTTCTGATGTTGAGAGCAATGGTGCAGCATGCATTTCAGAGCACTGGCAGCACCAGTATGTTCCCTTAAAGGCAATGAAGCCATAACTATATGCAGTGAAATCTTTATTGAGATTCCCTAGTACTGCCTCTGGAATCTAAAAAATGGACTCAACTTAAGCAACAAGAAAACTGCTCCTTTGGCTGTTTTCTCTTTTTATCTCTCATGTGTTGTTCCATGGTTTACTCTACCAGTTACATGCTTTTCATTGAGTTCTATGCAACCATCTCCATGTCATCCTCTTTTTGCATTGCATGTATTTTCATGCTGGTCAAAGGACTTCATTCATGTGGTTCTTACAGGTGTGTGCTGCTCTCTGTCTCTTCCAGGGACCTGATGCCCTCCACACTGGAGGGTCAGATCACCATGGAGAAAACGCCCAGCTATTTTGTTACCAACAACGCCCCGAAGCGCATCCATACCATGGCTAGAGACATCAAGCTGATCATCGTTGTTCGCAACCCAGTGACCAGGGCCATCTCGGACTACACCCAGACTCTATCCAAAAAGCCAGAGATCCCGAACTTCGAGGTTCTTGCCTTTAAGAACCGGACCCTGGGGCTGATCGATGCCTCGTGGAGTGCCCTGCGGATAGGCATCTATGCCCTACACCTGGAGAGCTGGCTGCAGTATTTTCCACTCTCGCAGATGCACTTTGTCAGCGGTGAGCAGCTCATCGTTGACCCAGCGGGAGAGATGGCCAAAGTTCAGGATTTCCTGGGGCTCAAACGCATCGTCACAGATAAGCACTTCTACTTCAACAAAACCAAGGGTTTTCCGTGTCTGAAAAAGCCCGAAGACAGCAGCACCCCCAGGTGTCTGGGTAAATCCAAGGGCAGGACTCATCCCAAAATAGACCCTGATGTAATACGACGGTTGCACAAATTTTACAAGCCCTATAATATGATGTTTTACCAAATGACGGGACAAAACTTTCAGTGGGAGCAGGTAGAGACCCAGTAAGAGGACACTTCTGTCCAGCTAAGAGGCTCCTCTGCAGGTAGATGCACCAGCTGTATCTCGTTAAATGATGTGAGAGTGTCTTATGTCAGGCCTCATAGCTTTCATTGCGACTCAACCAATGACATTACTGATCTCATCTGACCCAATGCTGTAGGTGTTTGTGCAATCATGATGTACATACTATACACAAAATATATTTTTCATTTGTAAACTGGACATGATTTTGCTTCTCTCTCTTTCTTTTTTTAAATAAAGAGTTGATATATAAATGAAGGCATACAACCTGCAACAGTGCATGCAAATAATTAAGTGTCCTTAATAATGTATGTGATTTGCTACTGGAATACTGTTCATAAAATTCAGTTGTTGTGTAAGTTCACTGTTCCTGAATTAATGAAGAAAGACACCAGAGAACAAATACCGGATGGAGTAATCAAGGTAATCGCTCCTTGATTAATACTCCCACACATTTCACTTTATGATTGTTATTATTTTGATACACATTTGCCATATGTTTATCAGCAAAGCCAGTTTAATATCCCATATTATGATGGTTCATTGCTCAGCACTTATTTTTGTGAGCATTTCACTGCTGCAATGAAAAGAAAACATGTATAAGAAAATAATGCATCACATTATGTCAGAGTCCCTCACTAATTGTGACAATCAGCTTAGTGTTCAGCATATGAACGGGCTCAGCTCAGCGCGGCAGTGCTGCGGCTGGTGTGCGCGGTTTCAGCCATAGACGACTGACGTGCCTTTCGGACTCAGGGCTTGTCAGTCTTTCACACAGGACGGCACCGGCCTGCTGCTTAATATATTAGCACAAGTTTGATGCTCTAATAACAATAATAATAACAATAACAATAATAAAAATAATAACAATGGTGAAGTTACAAAAGGTATCATAAAATATTTTTTTACAGAGGGGTAATGGATTGCACTATTATCCATATAGACAGAAGTATCACACCTTTGAAGGGGTTTCCAGCATTTTTTCCACCCGAACTAGACATCAGATTAAGTGAAGGACTTTAATGTGAAGTTTCCCAATTGATCAGCGACACTTTCTTTTGTCTTGTAAACGGAACGGCAGAGGATGAACTGTTCATTTCACAAGTTTGAAGAATATTCACACCAAGGATACCCTCCACAAATGCTGGGTACAGTCCCAGCAACCATCCGCTGCTTTAATAAAGAGCTAATACAGTATACAGAATGGAGTCTCTTCTTTCCCTTTCTTCTGCATGTGTGTGTATATACACATATATCACAATAACCTGAACTTTCTTCTCAATTTAGCAACATTTTGTGTGGATAGGAAGGTAAAACTGGGAAACTACTGCTAAGAAACTGAAAGAAGCAAATGCCGTTTCAGCAACACACGCTCCTTGTGGCTAACTTACTGTTAGCACGTCTTGGTACCGCAGATACACACTTTAATTTTGTGTTGAAAGTCGAGTCGGTGATTCGAGTCGGACATTCTTTTTATTCTGTGGGTAACACCACGCTATCTGTCCTTAGGAGATAAGGCGACAAACTTGGGAAATGGGAACTGGGCAGGAGAAATCAAATGAGAGCTTTTCAAAAAAGTAATTAACAGTCTCTCATTCTCTTTCGACACAAATCAAATTAAAATTAAATAAGGGTTTTTCAATTGCATCTTTAAAATGTATCTCAGAGGTGGTTCTGAGTGTAATTATTTTAAGGAACACTAGCACTTCTGAGCTTCATGTGACTTCAGTCTTGAAATTGCCCGGCTAAGTTGCTGAGCGGCAGTGATCCAACCAATCATTTCACCCTACTGTTGTATCATTGTATTTATTGCCTCCTGACCTTAATTGGTTTTTTGTTTGTTTGTTGTTTTGACACAATTTTGCTAAAAAGAACTGGTGTGATACCTGCAGTGTATTGTAGGGAACATGCTCCAAATGCACACAGTGACATACTATGGGCGATTTAGAGACGCCACCTGAGCACCTGGAGAACGTACACACAGTAAGATACTATGGGCAATTTGGAGGCGTTGTCATGTCTCTCCGTCCAGCCCTGTCGTGGACCACGCCCACCTCGTTAACCCTGTGTCAATTCCCATCGTACCAGCTGTCTTGCATTTATTCTGATATAATGTCCTGTATTTAGTCCGTGTTCAAGTCTGTTTCCCCAGGTCTGTCATAGACGTATTCACCGTGTTGTTTTGCCCGCAATAAACCCCGTTGTTTTTGGATCTCCGTGTGCCTGACCCTGCTTCCACGCTTTCTGTTCGCTCGCCCTGCACACGGTCATGACAGTATGACAGACCTCCGAAATGTTTATAATGTCCCGACCGCTGCGTCGCTGCCTTCCGAGGCCCCTGCTACGTCCCCGTTTGAGACTTTCTTCGCCCTCCAGGGGCTTTTCTGGAGGGCAATGGATGACTTGACGGTGCAGGAGCCAGCTGTAAGAGCATTTTGCAACATTCACCCCGAAGTCATCACCCCTCGAGCTGGAGAACATCGCAGATAATCTGAGGAGGCTCCTCTGGTTAAGGACGGAGCGGCACCAAGCAACAGTGGAGCCAGTCTCGACAGTAGACGCCCCGGCTCTAGCGTTACCTGTGCAGGCAGTACCTGTAGTGCCCTCTGATGTCCCTGACCCACCTGTTCCTGACCTGCTTGTTCCGGCATCTGCCGCGCCACCTAGCGAGGCTCCGGCTCTGCCCCCTGCCTCGCCTGAGGCTCCTGCTGCGGCCCCACCTCCTGCACCGCCCGAGGTGCCTGCTGCTCCACCCGAGGTCCGAGCGCTGCCCATTGTTGCTCCGCCCGTCTCTGCTCCGGCCGAGGCCCTGCCTCCGCCTGCGGCCCGGATCTCTCCGCGCCTGATGCTCCGACCCCGGCTGCGCCTAGACATCCTGGCTCCACACACTTCCGCCATCGCCCCAGAAGGGTCGATCCCGGCCAGAACCCCGCATGTCGGTGTCCCGTAAAAGGAGAGGACATAGGCGCAGGGGTCAGGTCCCACCCACCCTGCGTTTTCCCCGGGCTCCTGCTCGGCTGTTGCCTGCGGGTCCCCTGCCGTTGCCTCGTCAGCCGCCTGTGGTCCCGCCACCGACGCCTCGTTGGCCGCCTGCGGGTCCCTCCACTATGGCTCGTCAGTGGGCAGCGCCTCCGCCTGCTGTGGCTGCGCCGTCCCCTGCTACGGCTTCCCCTTCCTCCTTGCCTCACCATGGCGCCCTTCTGCTCCCTCCTTGCCGCCACTGGTGCCCCCTACGTCTTCCTCCTTGCCCCCTCTGTTGGTCCCTCTGGCTTCCTCCTTGGCCCCTTCGTGCTCCCCTCCGGCTCCTGCCTCGCGGCCGCCTGGGGTCCCTTCAGCTTCGGCCTCTCGGTCACCTGCGGCCCCTCTGACTGCCACCCGTCACCCGCTGTGGCTCCCTCGACCTCCCCCTTGCCCCCCCGGCCTTTCCTGTCTGGCATCCCGTGTTTGCTCCTCATCCCTCTATCCCTCCTGTCTCGGCTCCTCGTCCCCCTGTGGTTTCTCCATTCACTCCTGGTCCTTTTGTCCCTTCCTTTGGTGTTCTCCCTGTGTCTCCCTTCCTGGTCTACCTGTCTGCATTTCCCATCTTGTGTCATGTATTGTCTTAGCTTTCGCCCCTGTGCTTGTCTTGTGTTTCGGTCTTTTCTTAAGAAGGCACAAAACCAATATCCTGAAGAAA